TGGATAGGGGCAATCAGGCAGGCAGGCAGGTGAGCAATTAGGAGCCAGCAGTCCTGAATTGTGAGAGGGATCACGGATTGGAGAGGGTACAGGCTGGGCTGAGGGGACCCCCTCCCATGCATGAATTTCGTGCACTGGGCCTCGAGTCTATACATATAAAAGCATAACATACAAATCGACTGGACAGTGGAACAACCAGCTATGACGTGCACTGACCACCAGGGGGCAGACGCTCAATGCAGGAGCTGCCCCAGCCCGCAGGTCCCAATCGCCCAATCAAGGCCTGCTGGCCAACATGCATATAAGCATAACCAATAAACACAAGATACTGGGGGGTATGGAAGGCTAAGGGGAAGGTCAAGGGGAGGAAAAAAAAGGAGACATATATAATACTCTTTGTAATACTTTAAGCAATAAAACAATTTTTTTAAAAAAGAAAGATGGCATCTGTGGTATAGGCCGGTGGTTGGGAAACTCATTAGTCAACAGAGCCAAATATCAACAGTACAAGGATTGAAATTTCTTTTGAGAGCCAAATTTTTTAAACTTAAACTATATAGGTAGGTACACTGATATTAACTTAATTAGGGTACTCCTAAGGCTTAGGAAGAGCCACACTCAAGGGGCCAAAGAGCCGCAGGTGGCTCGAGAGCCACAATTTTCCGACCACGTGTATAGGCGAATGATTCAACACAGGGATTCTGGTGGCTGTCCCTTCAGCTCCCTCCCCAAAGCCACTAACCCCACTCTCCTCATGGGACTTGTCACTGTGAATGACGTTTTATGCATTGGCCCTTTAAGAGGGTACCTGTATCTCCAGCCATCTCTCCCCAGTGAACAGAAACCCTGGAGCTTTCCACAGCCAGACGTTATGTGGGTGCCTCTATTTAATTTATTTTTATTTTTTGGTTAATCCTCACCTGAGGATATTTTTCCCATTTATTTTTAGAGAGAGTGGAGAGGAGGAAGGGTGGAGGGAGAGAAACATCTATGTGAAAGAGACCATCGATTGGTTGCTTCCTGCATGTGCCCCAAGTGGGGCTGGGGATCAACCCTGAAACCCAGGTATGTGCCCTTGACCAGGATTCGAAACTACGACTCTTTGGGGTGAGGACTGAAGCTCTAATCACTGAGCCACAACGGCCAGGACTCTGGGTGCCTCTTCTCAGCTCTGGTGCTCTAGCCTGGGGAGCCCAGCGACGGGTGTAGACCCCACGCTTCTCAGGAGAACTGCCCCTCACGGAGCTGAGATATCCCTCCAGAACCTCGGCTGCTGCCCCTTTTTGTGTCTCCACTCTTCCCACCAGTCTCAACATGGGCTCTCCTGTGAGTCCTTGGTTATAAGGTCTTCCTTCGGCTCATCTTCAGTTGGTTATTCAGGGTGATTCTTATATAGTTTGGTTATAAGTCTAATTTGGTCCTGGGAGGAGGGGAGTTTAGCTTCCACCTACTCCACCGCCGTCTTAGATCTACTCAAAGCTCTGCAGTCCACCGTCAATGGCAGGGCTGGTTTCCTATAAGACTTCTTGCCTTGGTTTGTAAACAGACATCTCCTCCCTGTGTGCTTCACCTGACCCTCCCTCTGGAAGCCACTGTGGCACTCTCTTGGCCCTCTGTGCAAGTCATTAATAATCTTTTATATGGATTACATGTTGAAATGATATTAATGGATAGATTAGATCAAAATATATTCTTAAAATTAATTCACCCTTTTCTAAACATGGCTTCTATAACATTTACAATTTAATATGTGGCTTGTCTTTTATTTCCGCTACTTAGCACTGTGCTAGTGTATTCCACTATCTAAAGGATAAAGTCCAAACTCTCTACATGGAATACAGAGTTCTTCAGGGTCAAGACCAATTTCCTCTGCCACACTATTAAGCATAAGACTCTGTACTCCAACATGCCAAATCACTTCCATTTCCCAACTCCCTCTCACACCCCTCACCTCTGCATGCTATCCTCCTAGTCCAGCAGTTCTCAACCTGTGGGTCGCAACCCCTTTGGGGGTCGAACGAACCTTTCTCAGGGGTCGCCTAAGACCATCGGAAAACACATATGTAATTAAATATTGTTTTTGTGATCAATCACTATGCTTTAATTATGTTCAAATTGTATCAATGAAAATACATCCTGCATATCAGATATTTACATTACGATTCATAACAGTAGCAAAATTAGTTATGAAGTAGCAACGAAAATAATTTTATGGTTGGGGTCACCACAACATGAGGAACTGTATTAAAGGGCCACGGCATTAGGAAGGTTGAGAACCACTGTCCTACTCTCACGAACTTGCTCTGCCTGGTAAATTCCTATTCATTCTTCAAGACAAATAACATTTTATTGCCTCCAAGAATATTTTACTCATTTCTCCAAGCAGTTAAGGTTGATCCTCTGAGCTTTCATGGTATCATGTTATAATCACTCTTGCATACCAGACTCTTTCACTTCTCCGTCTGTATGAATAGATTACAGAAGGCCATGAAGGGCAGGAAATGTGGTCTTTAACTCTCCCGGTACACTGTGGCACAGTGACAACCTATAGAAGGTGTTTAACAAATGTCTGCTAAATAAATGAATCTATCCATAAAATTGTTGTGGGAATAAAGAAATGCTTACAGGACATAAAATCACCAATATAAAATATTAATGCCTATGGGTCAACAAAATAATGTATTTAAGGTTGAAATATATTTAAAGAAAATCAAAGTTAAATGTTTAAACAATTAGTTTAATACTTACAGATTTTTTTTCTGCCCAAATGACTGCTCCAACTCCTATTTTATGATCCTCTGAAAGATAAATGGAATTTAACACAGTAAAAAATCAATGATTTCTTAGTGTCAGAACTGTATTTTTCTAAAAATAATATACACATATTTATTGAAACATAGTTTCTAAATGTAGCAGCAATTCTTGACATTTCACAAATTATAGAAAACCACTAAAATAAATACTTTTAAGCATGCAATATGGGAAGTAGATACTAAATAACTAGACACTGTCACTACCAGCCCAGTCACACGTGATCTTTATGTGGAGATCATTACAATGGCAGTGTCCAGGATCAGGTCACTTCAGAGCTCTAACCAGAACTGAGTGTAACTGCTGATTCTCCACCAACAAGTCAGTTTCTAAATGACTATTTCTAACGGATGATAAAATTGTTTGAAAAACAAATTTCTGAACTAATGGATTTAATGTAATAAACAGTCACACAAAAATCAAGTCTGTCTTCTAGAAATTTTAATACTCTAAATCATGAAAAATACATTTCATGCAAATGTTCTTGCTATGAAAAATGTTCAGATGTATAATACAAACATAAATAAAGCCGAAACCGGTTTGGCTCAGTGGTTAGAGCGTCAGCCTGCGGACTGAAGGGTCCCAGGTTCGATTCCGGTCAAGGGCATGTACCTGCGTTGCGGGCACATCCCCGGTAGGAGATGTGCAGGAGGCAGCTGATCGATGTTTCTCTCTCATTGATGTTTCTGACTATCTCTCTCCCTTCCTCTCTGTAAAAAATCAATAAAATATATATATTTAAAAATAAATAAATAAATATTTATGGGCTGAAGGGGATTTTGATTTGAACACTATGTTGTCCTTTCCCTGACCTTCATAATTTGCCTTTGGGGAGGTAGGATAGCCCAATTAATTACATGATGCTCATTTCTAAATCAATTTTGAGACTATAATTTTCCTGCAGAACCAAAATGTTGGCAATAAATAAAGCTGTATTTCTTAAAACCATTAATATGAAACAAAATTTTAAAACCAAAAGAGAAATTCTACACATAAAGGGTTGACTTTTTCCTCCTACTAATACAAGGGTGAGTACAAATTTCTAAGAAAATTATACAGTAATTATGAAAACCATAGTATTTATCAAACTCTTAATAAGAGACGAATATAGTGAAGTAGGTACATTTACACAAAATAACAATCATCTATGATCTTGGGCTAGAACATTTTCATATTGGTGAGGATTAAATGAAATTGTGGCTTCATTCTATAATTTCCTTACAAGTAATCCTTCCAGTGATAACATTTAAATACTTAACTTTTTAAATAAAAGTCTACAGAAACTTTATTTCACCTATGTATTAAAAATTAGGATGCCTCATAAATAATTTTTGAAAGTTATGATACTACAATAAAATTCTCCAACTTTAGTTAAAGCAAACTCAGGTTTTTAAAATTATCTTATACAGCATTTGCATAATTTATTTTAAGCACGTTTTACTCATTGCCTCATTTTTTACCCTAACAGTAAAGCATATAAAATTTCCTATTTTAGATGAGAAAACAGGCAAAGAAATTAAGTGACTAAAATTTAGCCATCTGAACCTAACCTACTTTGCCTTTCCTCTACCCCTCCGTTGACATTAAGAATTTCATAAGAAACATTTCCCTTCATTGAGTGCCCGACTATACAGTGCTGAGGAAAACAGAAGTCCTTATATTCATGAAACGTACAGTCTGTCTGATGAGGAAGGAAGACAGGGACAAGGACACACCTCTGTGCTGTGCTGTGCAGAAATGTAATACAATGCTAAGGAACAGAGTGCACGGGAGGAGGAGGGCTTACTCTAGAGTGGGAACTGTCATAAAAGGGATTTGGGTGTAACCTAAATAGACCTTTAGAATAAAGCATGAGGGGAAAGAACATAATTATGGCTTTATGATCATTTCTAAGGCAAGTGACAGAACTCATAAACATAAGAGTATATTTGTCTACAAAACCTATATTGGAAGTAAAATTATACTTAATACATGCATAAATCTGAAACAAAAAATAAAAAACTGAAATAGAAATTCTTCAGATTAAGAGCCTACTTTTGCGACCATCTACATTGAGTAATTTTCATGTTGTTTTTTAAACTCAGGAGCCACTTTTGCTTCCATTTGGGGACAAACTAAACCTTGTCAAGAGGGGCCTTTCCACCAGCAATGCAACTCTATTGCCTATCTGAGGTTAGTCACACCACGAGGATCGTCTTTACTTTGCATATGTTAAAATCAAAATGAAATTTCATCTATATTAGATTGAGTAGATTTCACTCAGCCCTAACGTTGGCTGACAGATTAGGTCATTTCTCAAAAAGCTTTTCATGTCTGTAATTTTTACAGAAATTGCTCTAGTCATTCAGTGTCTTCATGTACACTTTTGAAGGAATGGTCAACTTCCAAATTCCCGAGACTCTGAACACTAAGAGTCAGATTAACTAGGGTTCTAGAACGCAGGCATGGTTACTTTAGCTCCCAGTTCTGTGGTCTTGTCAGAGTCTGCTCATGTGGTCTACAGGCCACTTGTGTCAGAATCACCAGCTGCTTGTTATAAAGGCAGCCTCCTGCCTCCCATGGAAATGCCCTAAATCAACCTCTCCATGGAAAGCGGAAAGACAGAGGAATCCGTATTTCTCATAAGCATTCCCTCTGTTAAAAGTTGAGAACCAATGAGTTATAGTTTGAAACATTAAACTCCCTTGGCTACTCCAACCTACTTTTGTCATCAACATTGTGGTTCAGGAGGAAGGTATAATCTTCAGCTTTAGAAAATGCTTAGTCTAATGGGAAAGCAGGACCCCAAAAAAGCGATTTAAAAAAATCACACTTAAACCAGGTAGATGGGATGTAATGGCTTCCTAACTCTTCAATTGGTTCCCTCCCCATGTGCCCTGACAGGGGCCAGTGATCAAACCTACAAACCAGGTACATGCCCTTGACTGGAATCCAACCTGTGATCCTTTGGTCAAGCACTGGCACTTGCTCTAACCCAGCCGTGGGCAAACTACGGCCCGCGGGCCGGATCCGGCCCGTTTGAAATGAATAAAACTAAAAAAAAAAAAGACCGTACCCTTTTATGTAATGATGTTTACTTTGAATTTATATTAGTTCACACAAACACTCCATCCATGCTTTTGTTCCGGCCCTCCGGTCCAGCTTAAGAACCCATTGTGGCCCTCGAGTCAAAAAGTTTGCCCACCCCTGCTAACCTCTGAGCTCACCACCCAGAGTTCTCTTTTTTTAATCCTCACCCAAGGACACCCTTAGAAAAAGGAAGGAAGGGGAAGAGGGGGAAGAAAGAGAAGGATCGATGTGAGGGAGAAACATCAATCCACTGCCTTCTGTATGTGCCCCAACTGGGAATCGAACCCTCAAGCCATGTATGTGCCCTGACAGGGAATCGAACCAGCAACCTTTCCGTGCATAGGACTATGCTCCAACCAACTGCGCCACTCCAGCTGAGCTAATATCAAATTCCTTAATAAGAATTGAGTGCTTATTAAACCGGCTGCATGTCAAAGTTCCTTGCAGAACTTTAAAAACTTACAAGCCTTGGCCATACCCTTAGGGACTTGGTTTAGTCTGGATTGAAATGTGAACATTTGTTTTTTAATAAAATTTCAGAGATTCTGATACGCTGCCAGATGAGAGCTTCCATTCTACTGAAATTACTTTGACCTATGGTCTTTGTTTAGAATACATTGCAGGCCAGTGAAATTTATAGGAACCCTTTCTTTCAAAAAAATGTATTTATTCATTTTTGGAGAGAGAGGAAGGGAAAGGGATAGAGAGATAGAAACATAGATGAGAGAAACATCAATTGGCTGCCTCCTGCACACCGCCTTCTGGGGATCGAGCGCACAACCTGGACATGTGCCCTGACGAGGAATCAAACAGCGATCTCTTGGTCGATGCTAAACCAACTGAGCCACGACTGAACCTTTTCTGAAGACTTTCTGTTTACCTTCTTTCCTGAGATAAATAAAATTTTTTTACTATATTCCACTCATCAAATCTTACTCTATTGCTCCTCCTGCTTGCATTTTTTTTCCTTATTTCCAAGTTGCATTTTAAAAAGTGATGACTCTTCTACTTTGAAATATTTTACATCTGATAAGATGTAAAAACAGTATTCTATAGTTGGGAATAGAGATGCTATCTTTTATTACAATAAAGAAAATCCCCAGGAAATATTTTTTGTTTTCACATATATGGCCATGCATAACTTTAAAAAAGTAAAAATGTTTGATTTCTCTACTTGTGACATACTAATTAGCAATTGGAAAAAATATGCCAATATTCTTTTACTTTGATTCTGTTAGTTATTTTGAATTTATATATTGTAAAGATTTTTAAAGTTTTTATTAATATTGAATACATATAAAATATTGAAGAGTTAACAAAAATAAACGACTTGGTTCCCTCTCTCTTTTTGTTCCATCTCTAGTGGAGGGATCAATGAACAGTGAAATGATAAAAACAAGAAGCAGAAAGAAGGGCCTAGATAATCAGGGCATGTAGCACCAAATTATAAGGCCACAAGGAATCCTAAAACCATTCTGAGGAAGAGTTGTCTACTCAAGGGTCTCACTAATTTCTATATGTTGTACATATGACCAGCAAAACTCAGTATCAGAATAAATGAGTTCTACCATAGATGAGATGAATCCCTTTACTTCTGAGATAAATACAACCAACTGATAAACCCCAATTCATGAACTCAGCATATAACTTACCAGTTCGATATGCCAATAACCTGGCCTGAACCATGCAGTGCCTTGCAATTTCTTGTGGCAAACTCTGATTGTGAATTTCATTACTCTGTTCAGTCTTGTCACAATAAAATCCGTAGTGTTTACAGATGGGAACACTGGAAGCTACTGTGGCCAAAAGTAGAATAAGGTCTTTCATGTTTTGCCTTAGATTGCTAAAGTATGGATTTTCACATAGATTCTCCAAACCTATAGTCATCAGAATCTGCTTATGTAGTTCTTCATTTGAAACAAAAAATAACAGTTCATATTCTTTTATTCTTTCTTGTCTACATTTGGAATAAAAGTCAATGTTAGTATCTGGAAATGTTTTTGCCATTTTTTGAATAAAGTCACATTTATAAGAGGTTTCTTCTACAAATTGCATCATACAACACACCAAAGGCTGAAGCAAGACACACACATGGGCCCTACTGTTTGATTTCAATCTTTCCACTGCTTTGGCATCTAACTTTGCATCTTCAGAAGTAGAAGTCTCAGAAAGCAAACTTATTTCTGGATCAGCAGGCCAATATGAAATTCGGTTAACTCCAGCTGAAATACAAAATATGAAAGGTAGTTATCAGACACATTCTGAAAGTAAGGGCTTTCTTGATAAATTTACCATATCACTGCAGTAGATCCAGAGATCCCAATATAATAAATGCCTGTTACCAAGTCACCAATGACATAGCCTATTGCCAAACCATGGCTCACAGGCCATATCCAGCCCACTGCCTATTTTGGTATGGCTTGCAAGTTAAGAACATATTTTATAGTTTTAAATAATTGGAAAAACAAAGAACAAGAATATTTTGTGACACATAAAAATTACCTGAAATTCAAATTTCATTGTCCATAAATAAACTTTTATTGGGACACAGACCCAACCATTCACTGACACAATCTCTGGCTGCTTTTGCACTCCAGTGGAGTAGCTGAGTTGAGAGCTGAGTAGCTGTATAGGCATCATGTGGCACACAAAGCCTAAAATATTTATTATCTTGACCCTTTATAGAAAAGTTGGCCAACCCCTCACAAAGCCCAGTGGAGGTATTTTGGAATCACTGGACTTGCCAAGTGTGGTCCCAAAGCCCAGTGCTGGAACTATATATATACCAGAGTCCTACAAGTAATCAAATGGCTGCTTTTAGAAACACCAGAGCCAACAGCTAACAGTGTCTAGAGTTTTGTATCTGAAATAAACTAATCCACCATGCATTAATAATGTACCTGTATACTGAATTCTTTCTCTAGGAAGATATTATATGAAAATATTCTAAATGGAGACTAAAAAAAAAAAGCATGGATACCATATATAGTGCAGCATTGTTTAAAACAGTAAAGACATAGAAAAAACTAAACAGATAGAATAGGGGAATGATTAAACAGAGTAGGGTCTTCCTCATAAGAAAATATCATACAGTTATCCAACATTTCCACAAAGCACTTATAATCTGAGGACAGCAGTGGGGGAGGGGAACAATATTCATTTTTAAAAATATATATTTTATTGATTTTTTTACAGAGAGGAAGGGAGAGGAATAGAGAGTCAGAAACATCAATGAGAGAAACATCGATCAGCTGCCTCCTACACACCTCCCACTGGGGATGTGCCCGCAACCAAGGTACATGCCCTTGACTGGAATTGAAACTGGAACCCTTCCGTCTGCAGGCCAATGCTCTATCTGCTGAGCCAAACGAGTTAGGGCAATATTCATTTTTTAAGTCCACAAAATTAAAGACAGAACAACTTAGAAGGAACATTTTTAATCACTGTGATAGAGGAAAGGTTAGTAATCTTTAATATACAGAGATTTTGATTTATTAAGAGCATATACAGATATAAATTGATAAGAACAAGGCCTCAAAAGAGTCCAAAGATATAAACAGACAATTTACAAAAGAAAAAACAAAACTGGATAACAAACATAGGAAAAGTATTTTAATTTGTATTTCAGAATGAAAGATGAGAGATGCCTTATACAGAGTTAAGCACTGAATTGTTCATCAGTTAGTGTTTTACAACAAAGACTGCTTTGCTAGTATCTTCTGTGATTGCAGCTAAGAGAGACATTTTTTGTGGCTGTGTCCAGAAGTGGCTTGTTGGCCCACAGGGGGTTGTGCAGTCAAAGTAATAGAATAAACCAAATAAAGTCTTAGTTGAATAAACACACATTTCTATCTACTCCCCGTTACTTCTAACTCTTATGTGATTTGGGCTATAAAGCAATTTTGAAAGCCTCAAAGCTAATATCAGAATGTTTCCTCTGGCTGCATTACACCTACTCTCTCTTGAAGTTCTCAAAATCCATTTCCTAATCAGCAGTCCTGGTCAATCTTTCATCTAAACATCCTGGTTGCTTCTAGTAAACCTGATTCAAGGAGAAGAGGGGATGACCAATCTTTAAACAAATATTCACGTACCAGTGGCAAATGCTACTGCAGAAATTTTCCAATTTTGTTGACTCAGACCCAATTACACTCTTTAAAATTAATGAGGACCCCAATGAGGTGTAGATTGTATCTACTGATATTTACTATATTAAAAATTTAAAAAATGTAAAAATATTAATTCACTAAAAAAAATCCACACACACAATAAAGAACCTATGATACATTATTATAAACTAGCGGCCCAGTGCACAACATTTGTGCACTGAGGTGGGTGGGTGGGGGGGTCCCTCAGCCTGGCCTGTGCCCTCTTGCGGTCCAGCAGTTGGACATCCTATCGCTGCCGCTGCCGCCATCACCACTGCACTCGCCAGCCTTGAGCCCAGCTTCTGGCTGAGCGGCACTCCCCTTGTGGGAGCACACTGACCACCAGGGGGCAGCTCCTGCATTGAGCATCTGCCCCCTGGTGGTCAGTGCACATCATAGCGACCTCAGTGCACATCATAGCAACCTGTAGTCCTCCTTTCAGTAGATTTGCATATAAGGGTTTTATTATATAGGATAACATAGCTTAATGAAAAATAACTATATTTTCCAAAACTGCAACAGAAACTAATATAGGAGAATTACACTGCTTTAAATTTTAATATCTCTTTATTATCTGGCTTAATAGAAGACATCTGGATTCTCAAATGTGTTGCTGCTTTCAATCTGCTGCTATAGGTTGTTTTATTGAAGTATATGAAAAGTGTCCAGCCTCACACAGATGTGTATTTGGAAAAGTAGTATTTTAACAGCTATTTCAGATAGTTGTCAATATTCTTCTTGGACACTACATAAAATTTTAATAAAGGATAGGCCCTAAAAATCATAAATTTTTTGTACTCTTATTCTATTCATTAATATTACCACCAATCTCATCCAGAAGAGTCTTTAAGTCTGGGAAGCTATAAGATCATGATGCCAAGTTTTTCAAAATTTTCACTTGAAGGCTCAAATTTTATCATTGACAACAAATACTATCAGTTGTATTCCTGTATTCACTTAACTCATTTTTGAGATAATGTCTGTCAAATATCCAAGTGTTTATAGCTTGTCAGATCACAGTGTTCCATGAAAAAAGTGGATAATTCAGTTCATAACTCAAACATTTGCATAGGTAGTTTTCCATAAGGCAACCTTCATACTTAAGTTTGCAGCAAAAGTGCTTTATATTTACCTCCTATTTTCTCACACAGATTATAAACATGTATACTCAAGGGTTGGGATTTAATAAAAATAATTCTTACTGTTTCACCAAAGATTCTTACATGAAACCTTTTTTTCCCCCCCAAGTATGTGACCATGAAGAGTACAATGACTACTAGTGCCTTGTTTGTTATTAGGCAACAGTTTTGACAGATCAAAACACACGTGATTGGAGCCAGCAAGAACTTTATATGTATCGTGCATGCGTGAGTCAACTTAGCCATTTATATATAGAGAATAAACTTGCTTAATGAGACCTACTTTCTGATGTAGCTAAACTTTTTCCAGCCCAGTGAAGCACCCCAACTTCTCTTTCAGGTAATTGTCAGCAAAACAGCAGTAAATATCAACAAGTACATTATTATTGTAGATCACGCAGGGAGAACAAAGGGTAAAACGTTTAACTGTAGCAGTGTTTGACTATATTCTGCACAGTGAGAAAATCTAAAGTCATTTTCAAGGTCCACCATTTCTTACTTCTTTTCAGTCGGGTCAAGTTTCTAAGCTTTCTAAATTCCGTTTTCCGACTAATGAAAAGGAAATAGGATTCCTCTGAGTCTCCTACCTACCTACTCCAGGACTTCTGTGAGGATCAAATGAGATGAGGCACGGGAAAACGCTCCAGACATTTGGTTAGTGTGAAATGTTTGCACCTGGTTATAAAGCAAGTCGTGTTCCTGGGCTGAAGAAACTGCAGCCTAGTCGCTAGGGAGAGGAAGCTGGGCGTTGCTATGTGATGTCATTACCCGGCGCCCATAGCCACCGTTTCTGGGTTGGGCTGGCTGTAGGCCGCATTTTGCGCCATGGGATCCTGGCAGCGTTGGCTGCGACTTGGTGGCCTGTTGCTCCAGGTGGCAGCGCCTGTGTTCCCCTTGGGGAAAGCCAAGTGTTGCTTTGTGGGCGCCAGGTCTGCACTACCATGTCTCTGTAAATGGCAAGTGCACGTCACAGCAGTTCCTGTGTTGAGTGTCTGCCCCTGGTGGTCAGTGTGCGTCATAGTGACCGGTCAGACAGTGGGAAGGACACTTAGCATATTAACCTTTTTATTTATATATATATATATATATCTAACACTAACAAAAGCATTTCTATTGTAGGTTCTTCCTGATTATCCACACTTTCATTACCTCTCTTGGCAGGTTCAAATGTCTTAAAGACATCAAGCAGTAGTCAGTAACTCGTACTTCCCTACTTTTCTAATTCTTGGCGCTGAGGCTATTAGGAGTGCTTACAGCAAACATGTCAAACTTGTGGTCGGTTTGACATGCTTGGAACTCAGCACAAAACACAAGACAAGAATCAAGGTCTCATCTTCCTCCAGTAACACTTTCACAGTCTTCCTTTCTATATCAATGTCACTTTGAATCCTGAAAGGGCGAGGACTACGCCCTCCATCTTACCCTGGTTCCTCCATTTTTGGGCAGAGCCATGTGCTCAGCAAGGCTTCTTCCCGGAAGCCCAAGCCTCTGCTAGCCACACCCAGGATTTCTCTAAACTAACCAATGACAATCAAGGGAAGTGCACACCATCGATATGACCACATCCTGTGTAACGAGACACCGACTTGTGCCTGGCCAATTGGCAGGGCCCACAGTCCTCTCTCCTGCCCTTACTCCACCCACCTATAAAACTCCTCTTCACACCGAGCTAGGTCTCTCTCTGCCACCTGCTGCTGTGTCAGAAAGGAGGGTAGGGGAGCCAGACCCAGGTTTGAATAAAAGACTCTTTGCTTTTGCATTGGACACGGCTGGCTCCCTGGTGGTCTTTTGGGGATCCTGAAATCTGGGCATGACAAATCCCACTTTATACCCTGCCTAATGCAGCAGTCTATTAATCATGCTCTAATTCAATAACAACAACAACAAAATATATATAGAGAGAGCCAGGGGCTGTCACATCTGAAACAACCAAACGGACAACCAAGCAGGCTGAGTGGGGCGACAAGTCTGGCAGGGGGGTTAGTGAAGGACGACCAAATGACTGAGTACCAGGCTGCGTGAGGCAACCAGACTGGCAGGGAGGTTAGTGGGGGTCGACCAAACGACTCAACACCAGGCTGTGTGGGGTGACCAGTGAGGGGCGACCTGGCCAGCAGGGGGGGCAGCTTGGGGTGACCAGGCCAGCAGCGGGGGCAGTTAAGGGTGATCAGGCCGGCAAGGGCACAGTGAGAGGTGACCAGGCCGGCAGAGGGGGGCAGTGAGGGGCGACCAGGCTGGCAAGGGGGCCAGTTAGGGGCAATCAGGCAGGCAAGCAGGTGAGCAGTTAGGAGCCAGCGGTCCTGGATTGTGAGAGGGATGTCCAACTGCCGGTTTAGGCCCAGGATCGGGCCTAAACTGGCAGTCGGACATCCCCCGAGTGGTCCCAGATTGGAGAGGGTGCGGGCTGGGCTGAGGGCCCCCCACACCCGTGCATGAATTTCATGCACCGGGCCTCTAGTATAAATAATAATTTCGATCATATTATTCCTGCTCAAAAATCTTCAGTAGCTGGCTCCACATTATCTTATATAGGATTTATAGGTCAATTAACAGAAGTGATAAAGTAAATATCCAATCTGCCCAGTTAATTGGGAAAAGAAGAAAAATTGCTACTATCATCTTACCTATCTTCTCTACTTGTAACTGCAGGGTAAAGACTATGGGATCTAAAAACTATCAAAGATATCCTACAGCTTAAAATACTTGTTGCAGGCCAAGAGACTCTAGCCACTTGTAGCTCAAAGGCATTGCCTTCACCTGGGACTAATCGTTACTTTTAAGACTTTGATGTAAATAAAAACAAAAGAAGTGAAATAAGCCAGTCAGAGAAGGACAAGTACCACACGATCTCTCTCACTCATATGTGGAATCTAATGAACAAAATAAACAAACAAAATAGATCCAGGGACATTGAAGCATGCAACAGACTGTTGAATCTCAGAGGGAAGGGGGGCAAGGGAGCAGGAAGAGTTAACCAAAGAAAATACACACACACACACACACACACACACACACACACGCAACCCATGGACACAGATAATAGTGCAGTGAAGGCCTGGGGAGGGGGCGGGAGCAGGGTGGATGGGGGGTCAATGAGGGAATAGAAAGGAGGACATCTGCAATACTTTCAACAACAAAGATAAATTTTTTAAAAAAGAAAAGAAATACTGACCCCCTAGAAGAGGGGTGGGCAAACTTTTTGACTCGAGGGCCACAATGGGTTCTTAAACTGGACCGGAGGGCCGGAACAAAAGCATGGATGGAGTGTTTGTGTGAACTAATATAAATTCAAAGTAAACATCATTACATAAAAGGGTATGGTCTTTTTTTTTTTTAGTTTTATTCATTTCAAACAGGCCAGATCCGGCCCACGGGCCATAGTTTGCCCATGGCTGCCCTAGAACCTTGCATTTCACAGCCTGGTGACCCCACATGTGCTGTCTCCCTGACCAAGATGTATTTGTCCTCCTCTACCTCTAACCCAGCAAGATACAGCCTAAGCCCTAGCCTTTCATAACATGCCAACCTGAAGAGATCACTATTTCTCCTCTAACCTATTACTTACAGCCCATCTCATTCATTTGGTACTAGATGATGTGCTCCATTGTTATTTTTAGCCGCCAATAACTCCTTGGGGAAAAGGATTGGGACTATACCAGCCTTTTCCCCTCAGAAGCTCTCCAAAGGAGGCTTCTTTACAAAGGCATGTTTGATCATTTCCTTTGGTAACTGAACTCAAACTCCAGTCCCTCTCCTTCACAGAAGTCTGGGAGGTGGGGCTGAAAGTTCCAACCCTCTAATCACTTGGTTGGTTCCCTGGCAACCAAGACCCACCCATAAGGGTTTTCCAAACATCACTTCATGAAGGGAAACTCAGGTGTGGTTGAAATGAATAACAAAAGACACCTTTATCACTCATCACTCAGTAAATTCCAGTGAGGTCTGAGTCACGTGGAAACATGCCTCCCTGTTGGCCAGTAATACCTGGGAACAAATTAGTGGCCAGGATGGGCGTGGTCACTGCAAGTGCACAAACCTAAATATTTAAATTTATAAACAAAGATGTGAGCTCGTGCGGGAACGCATGCTCTCTCTCTTACACACACACACACACACACACACACACACACACACACACACACACACCAGGTCCTCTTGGGACTTCTGTTACAGGGGCTGCCATGTGGGACTCCCACAATGGATTAATGGACTAAATACTAAAGTATACTCCACTGCAACATGGAAAGGAAGCTCTGTGCACTGGACCTGCTTCTGCTTTGCTGAACTCCCAGCTGCCCCTCTTTCAGAACTGGCTTGGGAAATGGGACATTGCAACCTAAAAAATGTAACCTCACACAAATAAAGCCTCTCCACATCCCATCCTCCTAGGGGGGCTTCTGAAAATGCTTACTTCAGCAATACCCCAAGAGCCTCACTCCCACTCATGTCTGGGAAATCTGGCCACTAATTCCTCCTGTAACAGCAGTACCTATGTAAAAGATGTAATATTTTTGGTCTGGCTGGTGTTGCTCAGTGGTTGACCAGTGACCTATCAACCAGGAGGTCAAGGTTTGATTCCTGGTCAGGGCACATGCCTGGGATGCAGGCTCGCTCTCCAGGTAGGGGATGTGCAGGAGGCAGACTATCAATGACTCTCACATCATTGATGCTTCTATCTCTCTCCGCCTCCCTCTTTCTGAAATCAACAAAAACATATTTTAAAAAGAAGATATATATTTTAAATAGCAGAATGGTCTGCATACTTACCTGGGGGCAAAAAAGAATCATGATTACAAAGAGTTTTAGTGAGTAGCCCTGTATGACAGAGATGGAAAGCTATCCTATATAATAAAAGCCTAGGTGGTGTCACACCCTCGCGCAATATCGCCACAAGGTGTAATTATTACTGGGAAGTATCATTGTGTATTTTAACAGTTTTAGTCCAAATAGACAGATTTCTTACAAGTATATACTTGGTTCGTCAGCATTTTAACTGATTCACACAGAGAAGGCCAAAGCTATGGCCGCCACAAGGTGGCCGCCACAAGGTGGCCGCCACAAGGTGGCCGCCACAAGGTGGCCGCCACAAGGTGGCCGCCACAAGGTGGCCGCCACAAGGTGGCCGCCACAAGGTGGCCGCCACAAGGTGGCCGCCACAAGGTGGCCGCCACAAGGTGGCCGCCACAAGGTGGCCGCCACAAGGTGGCCGCCACAAGGTGGCCGCCACAAGGTGGCCGCCACAAGGTGGCCGCCACAAGGTGGCCGCCACAAGGTGGCCGCCACAAGGTGGCCGCCACAAGGTGGCCGCCACAAGGTGGCCGCCACAAGGTGGCCGCCACAAGGTGGCCGCCACAAGGTGGCCGCCACAAGGTGGCCGCCACAAGGTGGCCGCCACAAGGTGGCCGCCACAAGGTGGCCGCCACAAGGTGGCCGCCACAAGGTGGCCACATGCACAGTAGAGGCAGGGCCCGGTGGCCGCTCTGCATGGTGAGGCCTGGGGGTCCCACAGCTCCGCGGAGCACAAAGGAGGCCAGTTCCAGAGTCTCCACTGCTCGTGCGGAGGAGGTGGGTCCTGGTGGAGGAGACAGGTTGTGGCAGGGGAGGGTAGTTGTGGGAGATCAGGCCAGTGGCAGAGGGCAGTTGGGGAGATCAGGCCAGCAGGGGAGCAGTTAGGGGGCGATCAGGCTGGCAGGCAGATGCGGTTGCAGGGGTGGGCAAACTTTTTGACTCGAGGGCCACAATGGGTTCTTAAACTGGACCGGAGGGCTGGAACAAAAGCATGGATGGAGTGTTTGTGTGAACTAATATAAATTCAAAGTAAACATCATTACATAAAAGGGTACGGTCTTTTTTTTCAATAGTTTTATTCATTTCAAACGGCCGGATCCGGCCCGTGGGCCGTAGTTTGCCCACAGCTGGGTTAGGGGCAATCAGGCAGGCAGGCGAGTGGTTAGGAGCCAGCAGTCCCGGATTGGAGAGGGTGCAGGCTGGGCTGAGGGACACCTCCCCGCCACCGGCACGAATTTTGTGCACCAGGCCTCTAGTATATTAATAATTTGTGTTTATCCTTTCCAAAATGTAGTCAATGCGAAGCAGCTGCCCAGTCAGGAACTACAGTTCCCACAATGAATATGAACAGAAATGATGCATGTGACTTCCCAGCCAGGATTTGTTTGTTAGTTAATCCTCAGCTGAGGATATTTTTCCATTGATTTTTAGAGAGAGTGGAAGAGAAGGGGGGAGATAGAAAGAGAAACATCAATGTGAGAGGGACACAGCAACTGATTGCCTCCATACATGCCCCGAACAGGGCCAGGGATGGAGCCTACAACTGAGGTGTGCTCCGGACCAGAATCGAACCCAGGACCCTTCAGTCCGCAAGCTGACACTCTATCCACTGAGCCAAACTGGCTAGGGCCCAGGCCAGGAATTTGAAGAGCAGGTATGCCTTCTCTATTTTCTTTCTCAGTCTGGATGCAGAGGACTAGGGATGCAGGGCCGTTGGCAATGACAGCAACAATACCACATAAGATACCTAGGCCCATGAA